CTACCTTTTTTTTTTTTTTTTTCAGTGTCACAATCTGTTCTGCAGTTCCTTTTTGTTTATTTTTTTATTCATATCCCATATCCATGTTAGCATTGAAGATATTTCTTCTGTATTGTTCCAGTGTTTTAGGTGCTAGCTCATATTGATATCCCCCATCAAAAGCCGACCTGGATCTTTCTGGGTGTGGTGGCAATTCTGAGGTTTGGAAACCTTTGTGGATTTCAGAAGCATGTTTCCTATCATGCATTTCTGGTGCCTTGAAAGCCAAAAGCTTTATTTGTTTCATTTCCAAGAAACTTCCAGTTCCTCTTTCTGAAACTCTGACCACTTCTATAACATTGTAATATTCTCATTCTCCATGATTTCTGTAAATGTTCCTTTCTCCTCCCCCTCATCCTCCTTCTTTGACTTATCTTCCTCTGGTCAACCTTTAAACTCTGGTGTCTGTTAGGGGTCCACTTCGGCCCTATACTCTTCCTACCTGCATACTCTCCATGGGTGACCTCATCCACTGCCATGATTTCAGCAAACACCTCTTGCTGATAGTCTCAAATCTATACATCTCTAGCCAACAGCGTTCCTGTGAACATCAGATCATATATTTGATTATCAAATAGACATCTCTGCCAACATAGCACTTAGGATCATTTCCCTTTTTCCATTCTATATTTTTAGTTGGCTCCACTAGTATTGCCATTGTCCAGCTATTCAGCTTAGAAATCTGGGAGTCATTCTTCTTTCCCATCATCACATTCAATCAAAAACAAAATTCTACCAATTTTATTTATTAATATTTATTAAGTATTCTTGAATCCATATTTTCTACCCATTTTTACCTTCCCTACCCCAGTCAGACCTTTTAATTTTTTTCTAGATCATCCAGCAGCTCCCTGACTCTTCTCTCTGAATTCAGTTTGTGTTTTTCTTCAATCCGGCTGTAAATTTGACCATACCATTCTATTGCATTCTTCAGTGGTTTCTTCCCCATTATGAAGAAGTCTTCATTCCAATCATGGTAACCAAATCCATCCTTGATCCAGCCTTTCCCTGACCCATCTACTTCTCTATTCACGGCTCTTATCTCTTGTCACTTCTGACCACATAAGTTATAATTCATAATAACAGAACTGGTTCCAGCTCTCTTTGCATGTGCATGCACTGGAGCAGAGAAGCACACCTCCCACCAATACCATCACCAACCTCACCACCAACACAACTACAACCACCACCACCATTCTGTTCTCTAGCTTCTGTGGCCTAGAGTCATCTTTTTCTCTCTCCCTTTTTATCTTGTCAATATCCAAGACATCTTTTGCTCACTGAACTAGTACAGGTGTCACCTACTCCAAAAAGAAAAAGGTTTTGCTACAGTTCTGTTACAGTTTCTTCACTCTGCTCCCATATACCACCTACATATTTCTTTTATTTATCATGTTGTGTATTAATTATCTGTTTTGCATAAGTCTTACCCCACTAAATTGTGAGCTCCTTGAGGTCAGCAGTAACATTATTCAGCTTTGAAATCTCAATTTCTAATATAGCTTAGCATATTCTAGGTGCCCCAAACCTTAATTGAATGAATGAATTTAATAAATAAATTAATTAATTCTAATATTTACTAACTCATAGTGACTCATATTTGGCCATGTGTTTATCTTATTTAATTGAAACAAATAGTATATGTATTTATAGTGCCATCATAAAGCACATCTAATCCATTACTGTTTATGCAATCCATATAAATTCCTCTAAGAATTTAAATCAGGGAAGTGGAGCCCAAATCTTCCAAAATAGTAGAAGGGGAATCTCCAGTCTCGAAGAATATTCAAAAGCATGCAAATCATAGGCTCTAATAACTCTCCATAAATTATTCTTAATTTCTTCTCACCCTTAATTTTCTCACATCTCAAATTTTTCTAATCTACTAAACTCTCCTAAAATACTCTCTGGGGCCCTTCTCATGATACCCACTCCTCATTTCTTTTTTATTTAGACTGTTACCTAGCAAGAAAGAATCCTTTCTGTTTAATAAAGTGGGGAAAAGGAACAACAGGGCAGTAGACCACTAGCTTCTCTTTAGCAGGGAGGGGCAGAGAGTGTTATAGACCACTGCATGTGACAATTGCTGACTGAGCACATATATATATGTGTTTGAATATGACATTACTCTCTTTGGATTATTGGTCAATTACTATTTTATATTCTTATGTAGAAGACATCTTTATGTGAAGTACTCTTCCACTGCAGGTGATTGAATCTTCTCTTTAAAAAAAAAACAAACCCAAACAAACCCTGAACATGTACCCCTTTCAACCATAACTATAATGCAAGTGTGTTTAAAGCAGCCCATCGGTTTATTGAAAGGAGAAATCTTGGACTCAGTACTTTGCTTTCTTTCTTTGTAGCTTGTGGTTAGAGTCTATTACTTCGTGCTTTCTACATCAGCAACAGCTGTATGCTGAAGCTCCAAGGAAAACCTCTCTCAAATAGTTCTGTTGCAAAGGGAAAATAACATTTACGAACTTTGACAGAAACTATACCCTTGAGCCATGTTTAATTTTGAAACTTGAATGGAAAAGTCCACTGCAAGGAGAAGCCAGCCACACAGGATCCTGAGCTGAGTCTATTGTTAGAAGAGGCACCAACAATGCACAGAGCTCTGGGTGGGGTGTGAGCTCTGACAGCTGTGCACACTGGTCTGCAGGGGACCTGGACAAGGCCCACTTAGATGAGGACCTCACCACAGCTTTATACAAGCTCAGGAAGAGGCAAAGCAGAAAACCTACCACTTGGTGAAGCATCTTTACATAACCAGAGTTTGGCTTTGCATTAGCTTACTTAGATGACAGTTTCACAGATTTTCAAAAATAACTTTGTTTTACTCATTCACTCATTAAATCATCATATTCCTATAATTGGGAAGTTCTTCATAGTTTGGGGTAGAAGGTCCTCCCTCAGTCAGGTCCTGGGGGCAGTGCTCGATCATCCCAGTGCCTTTAACTTTACATAATCAGTGTTTCTGTGTCCTCACTAGTGTCATGGGGTAGGGTGGGGTCTTGTTCTGTTTAGCTCTTTCAGTAAAGGCTACTCAATCAGCCACATCTGAATCCCAGTAGCTGGTTTAAAGCCTTCTGTCCCAGTAGCGATCACAGGTTTTAAAGGAATGTCTGGCCTCATCAGTAGATGTTTCTCAGTAATTCAGTATTGTGTTAAATTGCCCTACCACGACTAATCAAAGTCTTATATTTTTATATCCAACTACTTCTGTAGTATGTGAGGCTGCCCCAGCATATTAGGGCTAGGATGAGTATTCATGTCTGTTGTGATTCAGGCTACCAGAGATTCTGCATGCAGTAAAGAAGAACCATTGTGGTATTAGGGTACTGCTCCCAGGCCAAAGAACCTCCCACAGAAATCAGAAGCTGTCTCTGAAGATATTGTCCGATGTGTTCCTACGACAGTCATTTTTGAGGGATGCTGTCCTAATAGACCTGAGTCACTTTATTGAGTAACTGTTAGTTTCTTACAAAAAATGGCTGCTTTTGGAGTGTTGGACAGCATGAATTCTGGGACCCTGTCTCATGACACCAGACATTTCGTAGCTCTTCTTTGCCCGGAAGCCATTATTAGCCAATATACCTCCTCAACTTATCCTCTCTCACCTCTATTTTTCCAAGAGATTTTTTTCTTTCCGTGTTACTTGAGCTGAGTTGGAGCTACTCTATGTCACCGTGATAGATTTCCCTAGGTCCAAACATTGGTAGGAAGAGGTCAGGGAATCTATCTGAGACCTTCCTTCCTGGAAGGCACCTAGATTTGTGAAAATTTCTCTTTTTCCACGTCCAAATTCCTCATAGCAAGAGGAATGCTGATTCAATGTTAGACTAAAGGTCCTGTCACATCATTTCTCCTAGAGAGGGTTAACTCAGGGGCCACTCAGGAGTTCAAGGTGACCCATCTCTCTAGACAACTGGCAGCTGCTTCTGCCTGAGGGGGGAAAATATCTTAAATCATTTAAATATAGAGTACACAGCTATGTATAAAGATGTTTTATGATGCTTTGCACACACAAAAAATTGATTAGATCTAAATATTTCTTTACACTGGGGACTAGTAGTACGATCTGTTGAGAGGTATTAAATAGTCTTTGACAAATACCGTATGCTAACACATATACATGGAATTTAAGAGAAAAAAATGTCATGAAGAACCTGGGGTAAGACAGGAATAAAGACACAGACCTACTAGAGAATGGACTTGATGATATGGGGAGGGGGAAGGGGAAGCTGTGACAAAGCAAAAGAGAGGCATGGACATATATACACTACCAAACGTAAGGTAGATAGCTAGTGGGAAGCAGCCGCATAGCACAGGGAGATCAGCTCCGTGCTTTGTGACTGTCTGGAGGGTTGGGATAGGGAGGGTGGGAGGGAGGGAGATGCAAGAGGGAAGAGATATGGGAACATATGTATATGTATAACTGATTCACTTTGTTATAAAGCAGAAATTAACACGCCATTGTAAAGCAATTATACTCTAATAAAGATGTAAAAATAATAATAATAATAAAAAACAAAGAGTCTTTTTCACAGGGGTCTAAAATGGAACAAAATCTTATCAGTCTGGGATAGTTTTAGTAGGGTTCTATTTATTATAGGGCTAGTGAATGGAGGAAATAGCCTCTGGGTCCTTGTAATCAAGTGTCTTGTTTGATTTTTAAAGACTGTATATTAATTGCTTACACCTGAGTTCTGAATCAGACGTTTTTGGGAAGTGAGCTCTCAGGATTTGGATTCTGCTGGCTTATTTGGCATATAAATGAATCCTTCATAAGTTTGTGGGGAAATTTTAACTTATGTACCACTGTAATTACTCCACAATTTATATGAGATTATGATCACCACTAAAATCAATGAATAGCAAAATATTCTCATGCATTGTAAGAGTTTAGTTATTTTTAGTTTATTACAGAAGGTTTATTGTCTGTTTTTATTCTGCAGCCCCCACCCCAGATATACGACAAACAGCTGGATGAAAGAGAACACACCATTGAAGAATGGAAAGGTGACCCTACTGCTTAAATAAGTGTACCTTTTGCGTTATTGAAACTCAGAAAACATCTTTAAGGCTTTTCCTTTTAAAACAATTTAGTAACAGATGATTTTCTAAGTGCTATCCTCTTAGACCATTTGCAAAGCTCCTAAAACTTCATCTGTCTTTTCATACTAATAACAGTATTGCATTTACTCAAGAATGAAAGGAATTAATAACTGACACTTTATAAAAAATAGTACTGATTGTCAAAATATTTGTCATGGTGGAGGGCAAATTTTAATTCAAAATTTCAGAATTAAACATTCCATGTTTATACATAAAATTATCACATAAAATGGATAAAATTATGCCTGAGATGGTTTTAGTCATCATAGAATAAAAGATAGTGAATATATGAACTCATTCACTTGATTTATAGGACTCGAGAATTTAAATGAAAATTCATGTATCTGAGTGGCTTATTCTCCTTTAAAGTAAGAAAAGAGTAAATGAATACATTAATTAACTTTTTTTTCAAGAAAACTTTTTCAAACACATACTGCATGATCAAGGTCATAGTCAGGGTAAGACAAGGTAGAGAAGAATTGTTCCACTAACATAAATAACCACAGAGTAGAATAAATATGATAAAGCCAAATGCAGATTATAACACATGATTAGGTCATTATGAGGAGGAACATAAAGGGGAGATCTGAAGGGAAGAAACATTTGAGCAACCTTGAAAGAATTAATAATTATAAGTTTGGAAAAGAAAAAAAAAATGAGGAAAATACCAGAATGAAGATATAAGAGGAAACCAACCGGTAAGAATGAGCAAAAAGTGTTATAAAGTTAGTAAAGAGAATCCCCTGTTCAAGAGGTCATGTTGGAGAGTATGGAAGAATAAGCACATATAAACAGTAGATCAAGTAAAAAAAAAGATGAGGATGATAGACAGAAAAAGACTTGATTTGATCTAAATTAGGACCAGAAGGCACTCAGGTGTTCATGATTAGGTAAGTGATAGGGTGTAAATATCACTTGAGGAGGATGGACATAGACTAAATTCTGAAAAACTGAAGAAATACCTGTAAAGGATGATGATTATATAAATTGTAAGCCATTGCAAAGCACGAATGAATGGCACAGAATAATTTGTAGCTAAAAGCTATAAAGTAAAAAGTAATGAAGATATACATATTTTTAATTCTAGTAATAAAAAAGCCAGAAATGGATGCAAGTTTGGGAATAAATATAATAATTTTTTAATGTTGGATTTTATGCAAGTTTAGTTTTACAAATCCAAGATTTTAATCTAGCAAAAAGATGAATAAGAGTTGGAAAACTGATAGAAAGTAACAATATAAAGCCACAAGAAGAATATGTGTATCTCTTAGGAAGTGAACATAAAAGAAAAATGGAGGTTCAAAACTGAGCCATTAAAATCCATAAGAGATAAAATTAGAATGCACCAGAAATCTCCCAAAGAATTCAGAAAACAAGTAACATGTACTCTTCATACATTTTCTTGGTCAAATGCTTTATTGAGCACCTACTTTTGCCAGGCTCTGTGTTATTTCAAGAAAATGTAGAAATAGAAGAGTAAAGAAATTCCACTTGGTTTGTAATTTACTCAGCCCCACCAACATGTTATTATTTGTCAGTAACTAATGAATCTGCTCTTTGGGTTAAGGAGAAAATTGACTTTTATAACACTGATAACTGTTTCTTACAGAACTTATTTACAAGGAAGTCATGAATTCAGAAGAAAAGACTAAGAATGGTGTTGTGAAAGGACAGCCTTCTCCTTCAGGTACTCACTCTCAGTGAATAACCAATAAACCGATACTCGTGTATTTTTCTTGGCCTTAAGGAGAGATTGCGGTCAATAACATTGCCAATAGAGCACATGAACTAATATCACATGACTGTTTTTCCCTCAAATGATTTTAGTTTTATTCTTTTGATATTTAGTGTGGCATTCATTCTGATTATTCTGATTATAATGACCTAGCACAAGAGTTCTTTCAGAACTTATTTTAAGATAATAAGGAATCTTAAAGAAATGTTAACATGGGCTGGTTAAAGGGTAACTGTGCCTCATCAAAATTCAGAACGATAATGCCCTCTTGACCACCGAGTCAATGTAGAGTTCAGGAATCCATCCAGCCAAAACCTTTTCCTTCATTCACTCTAATGTTTGCACTCTTAGCAAGGTTGATGTAACCATAGTTGAAGCCTTAACCAAGATGAGATCCACTTAAAGTCAGCATAGAAAATATTTCAATTTGCAATCTACAGAATCTAACACACATTTGTACATATACATATTTTACTGATCTTACTAATGTGCTTTAGAATTATTTGAGGTAATTTACTTATACTTATTAATGCTGGTATATTTTTCCTAAGACTTACACTTTGAATAGAAAGAGAATATCTTTAGATTTAAACAACACTTAGATCATGCTGGCAAAAATGTAGGCTGCAGATTATTAGTTTAGAGGAAAGTAGACCTGGTGTCCTACCTTTGATGTATAATTTTTTCCCATGCACTTTATTTTTTCATTTCCATCTTTATTTTTTTATACTTTTTATTGGAGTATAGTTGATTTACAATGTTGTGTTAGTTTCAGGTGTATAGCAAAGTGAATCAGTTATACATATACATATATCCACCCTTTTTTAGATTCTTTTCCCATATTGGTTATTATAGAGGTTTAAGTAGAGTTCCCTGTGCTATACAGTAGGTCCTTGTTAGTTATCCATTTTATGTATAGTAGTGTGTGTATATATCAATCCCAATCTCCCAATTTATCCCTCCCCTCCCTTTCCCTCCTGGTAACCATAAGTTTGTTTTCTACATTTGTGACTCTATTTCTATTTTGTAAATAAGTTCATTTGCACCATTTTTTTTAGATTCCACATATAAGTGATATCATGTGATATTTGTCTTTCTCTGCCTGACTTACTTCACTCAGTATAACAATCTCTAGGTTCATGTTGCTGCAGATGGCATTATTTTGTTACTTTTTATGGCTGAGTAATATTCCATTGTATATATGTACTACATCTTTGTTATCCATTCATCTGTCAATGGGCCTTTAGCTTGCTTCCCTGTCCTGGCTATTGTGAATAGTGCTGCAATGAACATTGGGGTGCATGTGCCTTTTTGAATTATGGTTTTCTCAGGGTCTATGCCCAGGAGTGGGATTGCTGGGTCATATGGTAGTTCCATATTTAGTTTTTTAGGGAACTTCCATAGTCTTCTCCATAGTGGTATGGAGGTTACCATGCACTTTAACTTGCTTCGGGAAACAGGTAGAATGAATTAATCAGTTCTTCACACTGATAACTGCTCTTTAGTTTGTACCCACAGCCACTCTGATGCCCAAACAGATGCAATTCTTGTATGACCTGCGTTTCTCACCTCTAGATTTGAGGCAATGTCCAATTCTATCTCAAGTCTTCCCTTTCCTCAAAGAGGGTTAAGGGAATCATTGGGGTTGGTAGTCTACCCACCCTATTTATTCAGCCTAGCATCCATATCAATACAGGTCTGTAGAAGCTGCTTCTAACTTACCTGCATGTTCCATCTGCTGCTGATTAAAGAACTCAAAGACTAAATCCTACAGCCTCAAGGTACCATCTGCTAAGGCAGAAAGACTCCTTACCTTAAGAATTCCCATAATGGCCAGAACATATTTTCTTATAATCATTAAGAAGACAAAATACCAGGATCCAGTGAAGGGTGACCTAGCATCTCAGGCTGGGACTGGACAAGTTTAGCAGAGTGTCATCTTTATTTGAAATTATCATGAATTCATCTTTTTTCCTTTTTACAAAGAGCTCAGAATCATGCCACCCACTCCAGAACGCCCTATCTTCTGCTCATCTCCTCCTCCACTTTCCCCTTGGCCCCAACCAGGTCTCCACAGCAACTAATCTGTGATGACATAAAAATTCATAATTCTCTTTTCAATACTTTCACAACACTTCTACAAATGTCTTCTTATTCCCATGATTCATTTTATGTAAACTGTACAGCTCAGAGTGGGAAAAATGGGATTAGAAATGGTACAAGTGAGATCAATTAATCATTAATTAATGAATGATCTGCCATATGAAGAAAGGTTTAAGTATTTGGTAAAGGAACAAAGTTTGTATGTTATTAAGGCCTAATTCTTTAATCATTAAAACCATAATTCTTATGCAAAAATAAAGTGATTGCATGAAGAAGTTTCTTTTAACTCATTAATGAGGGAAATGGCAGAATAGCAGTTCCATGAAGATATGAGAAATTAGGATTTACATAGTCTGTGGAAAAAAGAACACTGAAATAAGATTACTAAATTAAATCAAAACTTGTAAATGTCCTACAGGGCAACCAGACCTATCTTTGTGGTTATGTTTTCTACCAGGCAGAAAAAAAAAAAAAACAGAGTTTCACTTTATCAGCTTTCTACGAGTTTACAGTGTTGTAAAACGTCTGGACCCTAATCAATTGAGAATATTAAGTCCAAAAAGTTATGTTCCACAAAACAGTCAGATGACCCTTAGGAGGGCTTGTTAAAAATTGCTCAAGTATTGGGCTTCCCTGGTGGCGCAGTGGTTGAGAGTCCGCCTGCCGATGCAGGGGACGTGGGTTCGTGCCCCGGTCCGGGAAGATCCCACATGCCGCGGAGCGGCTGGGCCCGTGAGCCATGGCCGCCGGGCCTGCGCATCCAGAGCCTGTGCTCCGCGGGGGGAGAGGCCAAAAAAATGAAAGGCCCCGGTATTTAAAAAAAAAAAAAAAAAAAAAAAGCTCAAGTATGATATTAAAAAGTTACATGCTCATTTTTTGCACTAATCCCAAGTGTTGGATAATTTTCCCGAACAGTGTCTAAGGCTATTGACATAAATAATTTCTACATGCTCTGAATAGATGAACCTGAGTCCTGACTGAGTAAATCCTTTTTAAGTTTGCAAGAAATACATTTAAGGTGAATAAAGCCGAAGACTAGTTTACAGAGCAGTTTGTTATTTCTGGAATGACTGGAAAATAAACGAATTCCACTACAATATTTAATGATGAATATAACTAGTCATAGAGAAATTAAAATATTGGCCAGAATGCATGAGATTGCTGCCAATTCAGATTCAATTTGTTTAAAATCAAACACATCCTCTCTATTTAGACTCACCCACTCAGCAGTAAATTTTTTCTCAACTTTCCCATTTCTATTAATGGCAGCTCTATTTTCTTAGCCTCCCAGCCTGAAACCCCTGATTGATCTTTTACTCCATACTCACCTTATGACTGAGTCATTTTCTACATCCTAAAAATTTTGTTTGCTGGATGTCTTACATCTAATTACCATGCCTTTCCTTTAACAGCGTTATGATTGAAGTTTTCCTGAAATAATTTTCCAGACTTCAGTCTCTACCTAAGTTGATATTTCAAAACTATAGGTTTGAGCAATAATTCCACTGATCAATGCCTCCAATGGCTTTGCATCACTTATAATTTAAGCCTAGTAACCTCTCCCTGACATGGATAGCCCTCTGTAATCCACGTTTTTCTACCTTTCATACTACACCAATTCTAGGGTCCTGTATTGCCATTGTCTTACTTGACTGGATCCCCACCTTTTGGAATGCTGCCCATTCATAAGTATTCTCTTATTGAATATCACCTTCTTCCAAAATATTTTTTATATCTGTTCCAAAATACTTTTCATATCTTCCCAAAGGATAGAATCTTTTCTTCATATGGGTCCTACTAGTACCTGTATTTTAAACATAGTCTTATTACCCTTATTGATTGAAATTCACTGAGAAGAAAGATGGTATGTATTCACCTTTGTGTATCATGCAGTGCCTGAGTGTTGTGCCTTGCATATAATAGTAGCTTGATAAATATTTGAAAATTGCTGCTCAGGTCCTCCCTCAGCATGTTTCTTGGTGCTATTCCAAAGACAGAATTCAGGACAGGATTATAACTTTAATATAGTATGCGATTCAGTATGTTCTTATGCCAATAAATATTTATTCACCCTATTAATCACCATGAAGATAAATTAACCAAGTATCAGTACATAAATTGTTGCTTTTGGCATTTGCTCATGCTTCAGATATAAAGGTTTGCTGCTTTCAGGTGGTTGTTTGATTTATTCATTTTTAGAAATGCATATTCCTCAATTTCTTTTGCATGCCTGTTTAGTTTAATATGTTAATGATTAATTATAAAATATGCCATGTAGGCTCTATGTGTATGTGAAAAGACCAAACTATTTTTTAACCATTCCAACTACCTGTAACAATACTAAATTATCTACCTTCTACGCATGCTCTAAACTATAGTTGACTGGCTTAAACAATTTATAGTTAAAATGATTATGGATTCAGTCTTTCACAACATGATTTTAAAGGAAAATATTCCTGGCTTAATTTTGAGAAATCATATGTATAATATATATTATATGACATATTTGTGTCTGATGTATTTGTGTGCATCATGTGGAGACATAGAATAGCCATGTGCTGGAGTTGACTCTTGCAGCTCATGAGAGCCACTTGTATACATCCAACTATGAGTTTTTTGACCTCATATTGTAGCTTGAAATCTACCATGTAAGATTTAAGACATAGAAATTGGCTGACTCTACAAATCAAGGCATTCCTCCCCCCGGAGAGCCAATTGTTAAATTTTTATTAGAACGCTACTGTGTGTGTGTGTGTGTATGTGTGTGTGTGCATATATATATATATATATATGTGTGTGTGTGTGTATATATATATATATATGCAGTAACCTATGCTGGAAAGAAAAAG